TTGAGCTGGAAAGGGCACTGCTTGCTTGGGGTAGAAGCCTTCAGTTGCATATAGAGTAGGTCTGTGTTTCTGGTGGGGCTTAGAGGGAAAAAAAAAACAACTATACCCACTGTTGAAACAACATTTTTCAGTCCTGGTAATTTGCTAAATTCACCACAGTGATCACAGGGGATGAGTTTCACAATCCTGCCTTGGCTGGCCCTGGCTGGGTCAGTGGCCAATTCATCCATCTTCCTCCTCTTTATGAATCATCCTGGGCAAAAAGGACAATGGACAAGAGATACAGAAAAGCCTCTTTTCTCCTGAGGATAATCCAGCTCTAATTCCTCAGGAAGGGCAGCTTTGGGCCATTTTAAATCAAGGATATTTTTGTTCAAGGCTCCTAGTTTGTCTAGTTTGTCCCTCCCAGCAAAAGCACTTACTAGGGGGTAATTGCTAAACCAGTTTACCCCACCAACCAGATTCTGTAAATTATCTCCCAAAACATTCTAATTAAGCAAATTTTGTTTTCCCTCTAGGAAAACAAAGCCCCAGATTACTTAAATACAAATTGTCTAAACAGGAGTGAAATGGAGAAATGTAAATTCACTGTTCCAAGGTCATCTTCACAGCCTCACAATGATGCTTTCTTTGATGTTACTTCTTGAAAGGCCTTGATTGGAATTTAAGTTGTTGTTTGTTAGAAGTGTTTTGAGCTCAGTCACTCGAATACAATGTAAATTTTTCTTTAGGGAAAAAAGCATTATTTACTTAATTTATAAAAGTTAATTAATTTGCTTAATTTGTACTCTTAATCATGAAGGGAAAGGCTACCCACTCTAGTATTCTGGCCTGGAGAATTCCATGGACTGTATAGTCCATGGGGTCACAAAGACACTGAGCAACTTTTACTTTCAGTCATGGTCAAGTTCAAAAACAGAGTTTAAAGGCACAGATCAGAACATATGGTTTTCATACCATTTTCAATAAAACTACTGAAAATAAATTAACAGAATAAAAGCTGGGCAGTTACTTTTAGCTCCTTTGGTTATAATGGTCCTTTCTTTTTAGTGCACAGGAATATATAGATGAAGTTTGAAAAATATTTAGCAGCAGAATTCTGTTGACAGCTCATTCTCACTGAAACATAAGCATGTTGATTTTATGGTTTCAAGATTTCTTCTGTTTATAGTAGACAAGATATAAAGGCAACCTGTGAATGGATAAATGAATAGATATATGAATGTGACATATGTATATATACATACAATGGAATATTACTCAGCCATAAAGAATGAAATCTTGCCATTTGTGACAACATGGTTGGATATAGAGGGTATTAGGCTAAATGAAATAAATCAGACATAGACAAATATTATATGATTTCCCTTATATGTGCTATCTAAAATACAAATTAAATATTTCCATCAAATCTAATAGCTATGTTTTAAAGCAAAGTAAAACCAGGAGTTGTAAACTCAAAGCATTATAAGGAATGGCAAATAATTGTATGAATAACCTAGCATAAGATCCAGGGATTCAGGGAAAGGTGGGCTAATGGACAAATAGGGGCATATATGTAAATGCATTCAAATTCAAAAATTTCGAGAACTTTGGCTGGTCAGACAAAACATATCTGCAGGCTCAACTGACCTACAGACCACAGATTTGGGGTCCCTTGTCCAAAGACATTTAAAGTTTCCACAGGACAAAACTTTGACAAAATTAATGGCAGTGGGATGCAGGGAGATATGTGATTCTAGAGATTTTAATACTGTAATTTCTCTGTTTCTTAAAATAGATGATTTTTTCTCTGATTGATGTCTGATATGTGTATATTGATGAAATCATTTTGACTATAGGTTTACCTAAAGATAGCACATATATTCTATTAATAGGTGATGACTGTGTTTACCCTCTTAGAGCAAGGTTTGTGTCTGGCAATTTTTTTTAGTCCTTCTTATTTATATTGCTATATTATTTTACGTTATATTTGAGATATAGAACATGACTTTATGAAGGTTAATGCACCAAGCAAGCCCTATAGAGGTCCCTGCATGCATGTGTTCATGCTCACTCAGTTGTGTCTGACTCTCTGAGACCTCATGGACTGTAGCACCCCAGGCTCCTCTGTCCATTGGATTTTCCCAGCAAGAATATCAGAGTGGGCTGTCATTTCCTTTTCCAGGGGAGCTTCCCAAACCAGGGCTAGAAACTGCATTTCCTGCATTGGCAGGCAAATTCTTTACCTCTTAGCCACCGAGGGAGCCGATATTGGTCCTTCCATCACATTGATTCAAATATAACATTTTTAATGTGGCTCATGTATTATTAAGGCAAACCTTTAAGATAAACTGGGAAGTGAGATGTTATCTTTTTCTGTGGAATGGTCAGGTATAAATACATAAGTAAATTCCTAAATAGGTACAAATTCCTTCAAATCCATTTGAGGTAGGAAAGAAATCAAAGGCTGGTAGGTACACTGAAGTGGCCTACAGATTTTTTTCAGTAGAATTATTGAATATTAGTAACATAGTAAAACCAAATTTTGATTAAAATAGCTAATAAAATAATGTGGGAAACTGATGGTTTTATTACTTGATGCACAAGAAATTAACCAGTCTACTTTTGTGAAAGACAACAAATATGTAATCAAGCAGATAAGATTTTTTAAATGACCAGACTTTGTGACACGTATGAGATGGATTTCAGATGTCTGCAGATTTATACATATTCAATCATACAAAATTGATTACGGATTAAAATGTTATATATTTTATTCTAACTCTGTGATAATTAGTTACCTACCTTTGAGAGCTAAATCAACTCCTAAAGAGTTGTCATTAACCAGAACATCTTGGTTCTTTTACTAGGTACATACTTCAGAATTTTTACATACAGCAAATAAGCCCTGGGTTTGTTATTTTTGACAATGCTACCCCAAATCACTTTGTTACATTACATGTCCTTTACTGGCATAAGCTTTATTCTGTGGTACAAAAATATAAAGAAGGAATATGTCTGTTAACATCTCATGAGAAAGGCCATTTATAATATGAATTATCTGTGAAACTGGACTTTCAACTGGGGGAGTACAACTTTTGTTTTAAGGTGCATAGAAGCAAATGAAAATATTAAAAGATCTGTTTCAGTTAAGATCTGAAGTATACATACATATGAAATATATTAGCATACTAGATATCAATATCATATAATAGTAATATTATCAATAGTATTAACATTAGTTATATTTATTAGCTTAAATATATTCATTTCCTTAAAACAAATTAGGTCTTCACTATATTCTCAACAAAAGATGGAGAAAAGCAAGCTCCAATCAGAAATCTATCTGGTGATTACCTGGCAGTGTAAAGCTCCAAGAAGCTGTCAGTTTCTTTTGTGAGAAGACTGTGAGGTGTAACTGACAATTCAGTTTCTATGCCACAGTAGGTTGTTGCACATAATTATCCTTAAACCTCATCAGACCTAAGAGAATGGACTGACACACCATAGGAAATAAGGTTCTGTGTGCTTAGCTAATGTCCCAGCACAGCACGGAAAAGCAAGAAGCTTTGCAAGCTGTGATTGTATTAAGGATTTTTTTTTTTTTTTAAAGGAAAAGCTTTCTACTTTTAGAATTCCGAGAATTAGAGTTGAAAAGTCACACATATCTCACTTGGATTAGCCTACCTTTACCTGAGATTCAGGTATCTTGTCTGTATCTTATCAAACATTCCCAAAAAAGAAGTCTTGGGATATCAGCAAACATTAAAACATATTGTGATATTAATCAATAATATGAAAGGACGATGAGCAGGCACTCATTAAAGCTGACCATTTATTTCCCAAAAACATGCACAGACCAAAAGGAATAAGCCATAAAGAAGCATTTCCAAATCTGTGCTCCACCCCACTACCTTTACTATTGTTATGAGTGTATTTGTGATTTTATTTGCAGTCTGCCCATACATGGGAAAATGCAGGATGCCAGGGTTAAAACAGACTCTGACTGTAGTAGACATGTATTGCTTATATTCTTATTCTCCATCAGTACTGGGTCCAACCATGTGTGAATTGGAAATGAGGAGAAAAATCTATTCTATTCAGCTTAGCAGAGTAAAGGTGATTGCTTGTATTATCTAATTTATTTTCTAATGCAAATAGTTATTAGAGCTCATTTGTTCTGTGTTGAATTTAAATTATTTGTGGGGAAATTCATGTGTTAATAGGATTTTTTCCACTAAAATTGATAAAATTTTTGTCCTTCCTTCTCACTTGCAATTTTTGCTATATATAGTGAATATAGAAGTGAGTAAAACAGTCCATGTTCAGAGTTTCCTGATCTACTAAAAGTGGGAGTAGGGGATAAAAGTAAAATACACTGAAAGTCGCTCAGTCATGTCTGACTCTGCGACCCCATGGACTGGGACCTGCAAGGCTCCTCTGTCCATGGAATTCTCCAGGCAAGAATACTGGCATGGGTAGCTGTTCCCTTCTCCAGGGGATCTTCCCAACCCAGGGATTGAAGTCGGGTCTCCCTCACTGCGGGTGGATTCTTTACCATCTGAGCCACCAGGGAAGGGAAAAGTGAAGTAGCTCAGTTGTGTCTGACTCTTTGCGACCCATGGACTAGAGCCTACCAGGAAGGATCCTCTGTCCGTGGGATTTTCCAGGCAAGGGTACTGGAGTGGGGTGCCATTACTGCATGACAATTTAACAAGTGCTGTCAGGAATGAAGTCACAGTACCTATAAGGCATTCCTGGGATACAGAGTTCTCTGTGGGGAATATAAATAACAGGAAGCCTAAATGTCTGAATATCCAGGATGTTGCTACTGATACCTACCACAGAAAAAACATGGTTGGATATATAATACACAAGTATTTATGTAATCAGTATAAAAATTATATTCATTCCTGTAATTTCTTTAGATTTGCCTTTTTTCATTTAAAAGAAAACAATATTCAGGCCCCATGAAACTCTCAGTAGATTGATAAAACATTTGTTAAAAAAACATCAGATACTAGACTCAGCCTAAATTTTATTTTTCAGTCTACATTAAACAATGCACATTTTACTACAACAAAGAACATTAAAATTTAATGGTTTTCAGTTAAAGCTTTGGGATACAGTAACTACAATTTTGAAGTAACCTAGCCAACTCTTTTCATATTAACGAGAACCATACAGATGTAAAGGAGTGTTTTATCTCCTCCAATAAGGGAACACATATAGAAAACATGGGGAAATTAACAGTATGAACAATAAAACAGTAAAATAGGCAGCAGGAAACATCATAGGGAGGAAAACTTGAAGAATCAATTATCCATTTAAGGTATAAAAACCTTGCAAAGGGAAAATATTTCTAGGCTTACTTTGTATTATTATTTTCCCTCTGTAAGCAGATACTGGCTTTTCTTCTAAGATCAACTGGTTACTTCAGCATTTCTGGATGTTATTTGGGTTATTTCTGTTAATTACTACTTATTCTATCATATAAGTGTTTGTCTCACAAACAAAAAAGGATGTTTGTTTACATCCTAAAAGCTTAAAGATAAATCAGGTAGTAGCTCTAAAGGTACCTGGTAAGCCCCACCTCCTGCCGATTTTTTAAATGTCTCATGGGTATGTATATTAGAATTAAATGACTATTTATTGCTTGTAAAAGGAAAGTAATAACCAATAGAGTGTATTTCAGGCTACAAGAATACCTTTAAATCTGGGCCTCAATTATTCTGATAAAATGGTGACAGATAAACTTTGAAATAAGAACTAAAAGGCATTTTAAATGTTGCTGAGACTAAAATTTTTAATTCCTGATTTTGGTTGACCAGATGGATACCATCTGTGTAATGGAAGTGAATTTCTAGGAAACTTGAGAGCTTTACTGCATGAAGCCTTCCACTATTTAAGAAAATAACAGATTATTTAAGAAAAGTCCAATGCTGTGTATAATTTATCCAGATCAATGAGACCCTACACAGTGATTTTGGGGAAGAACATGAGAGAATTATTTAGATTCAATTAACTCAAGACTACTGACAAATAGGACATTACTCAGAGATACAGTCTCATCAGAGCAGATTTAAGTAACTTAGTTGACCCTAGAACTGTCCTAGAAAAGTCATGCTAAAGGCCAGACCAAAATATTGCTGGAAGGGTCGGATAAATAAAACATCACGCTAATAAGGTGTGTCCTTAACTTCAGGGGGAAAAAAAAAATTGCAAATACCACAAGTTGAGAATTATCTGGTTAGCTTTAACATCCTGAAGTAATTCCGAAATTTATAGTAAGACAATGCTTAAACCAATACAGCATTGTATTGCCCCTGAAATAGGATTTTGTACCTTAAATGCCTTACCAAAATATACATCTTGTAATTCTGAGGTAAACATCTTTATTTTCTTACACAACCAAACATGTTAAACTATCTCAGTACATTACCATTTGAACAGGTCATCTTTTAGTCTTTATGCAGTTTTCACATTGTTTTACTCAGTATTTTTAAAATGGACTTAACACCTTGTAGACACATTTAACAATACAACAATACTGCATAACCTTTGTAATCTTATTTAGTATATAATCATGTTCAGTTATCTTTGTATATTTACAGGGAATTAAACAGACCCACTCCCTCCTCCCCACTACCCCACAATTTAAAAGAAAATACAACAAGAAATGAAATTAGGTTCTGGGAAGAAAGAAACCCTCATCATTCAAGTGTGGAGTTTCAGAAGTCAGCTTTTTGCATCTACCCATCCTCTATGCTACAGAAAACCTTTGTGAGACTACCACCAAATATTTTCTAAAACCTTTCAAGAAGTTCCAGTAGATTTCTGGATTTGTTCCTTTAAAATCAAGATACTCTGCCTTTGCTCAGGAGGCAGCATGGCAATCTGATCTGCAGTCAGCTGAAGAACCTGCATGATCAAAGCTGCCTTTTCTTGATCCTGGGGGGTTACTTGGCTCTGCCCAGGACTAAAACTGCTAGGCTGGCCTCCACCTTGCTTGCCTGCCCCTTGCATGCCCGCCCCCTGCATGCCAGCTCCTTGCATGCCTGCCCCCTGCATGCCAGCACCTTGTATGCCCGCCCCCTGCATGCCACCTCCTTGCATAGCTGCCCCCTGCATGCCAGGTGCAGGGTTTCCCACCCCTGAAATGCTGGGAACCTGTCTGGGTCCCTGAGGACCACCTGCCCCCATATTAATAGGACCTGGACCCTGAATTCCCCCAGTCATAGGGCCTCTCGAACTGGGGCCAGGGCCCCTCATCTCCATTCCTCTTGCATCCATGCCTCTCGCTTCCATTCCTCTGGTTTCCATTGCACAGGTCTCCATTCCTCTTCTCTCCATCACTCGTGTCTCTAAGACCTCTGTTTCCATGGCTCGAGTCTCCATCCCTCGAGAGTCTCTGCTGCCTCTGCCATCCATAGGTAGCCCCCTTTGATCTATCATAGGTCCTCTGGGCTCACTCATGAGCATTCTAGGATCTGCCAACGGCCCTCCCCTCATCTCATGTGAGGAAGGGCCCCGGCTGTCATGACCAGCGGCATGGTGCATTGGAGGACCCTGATGTGGTGGGCCAAGATAGCCTCTGGGCTCCACCTCTCCAGTGACTGAAAGCAAAGTCCCTCCACGTGGGTCATTTGGAGCATCCCCCAACAGTCCTCGAGGAGGCAGGCCACCAGCAGTCATGGGTCCACGAGGCATAGGAGCTCTGGGATCAGATATCTGCACCTGCCCCCGCTCTAAGGGCACGGGGCCAACTCCTGTCGACCCACACTTCCGCCGAGCAACGGAAACAACTTTTACATTCCGGGCAGAAACCTCACTAGTCTGTTTGAATCGTTCCGCTAATACGCAGCACCGGCGCCTCTATGTTTTCATAACTAAACTAATGCTTTTTGTCCTTGGTCCTTCCTGAGGCACATGATTCCTTTCTCACCTCTTATTCTGCAAACTTTTCTATGGCTCTCCACCACCCTCGCCGGGAAAAGCTTCTGGTTTTCAGTCTTATTCTTATAGTAGCCTGAAGACTTCTTCATCCATACAGCACCGATGATCAAACATCTAGATTAATGGTGAAAGGATTCTCCACAGTGAGGGACACTCAGATAGGTTCACAGAATTATGTGGAGAAGAGAAGAGGGAGGAGGGAGATAGAGGTGACCAGGAGGAGAAGAGGGGGAATCAAAAGGGGCGAGAGCAATTTAGCNGGGGAAATGTAGTTATTTCAAAGTAGACTTTGGGTTTTCTCATTAAAATTCAAAAGTAATAGCTTGTTTTAGAAACACATTTTTGGACAATAACTGTCCAGAAATAGAAGCTGAATGCATGTGCTAGCTCCATTCCCGCCCCCATCCTGTTGCTTCTGTCAATCCCTGAGGAGAGGTGTCTGGTCCTTACACGTTAATTTTTGTGCGCGCACTCAGCAATCAATCTTTTCAAAATAATATTTTTTTCTTAGTTATATTAACCAGTATTAATAATAATTTATTGAATTTTATGGCTACAGCGTGTTAAATGCATTTAACCATTCTTTAGGCATACAGGTTGCTTCTGATTGTTATTACCTGATGCAATGGTTCCGCTACCTCTGTTATGAAGGAGGAAACTAGTACCTCTTCTGTTGCTAGTTTTGCTGGGAGAAGTTAAAACGTGGAATGTGGGTCTGTCTCTATTTAACAAGCAATTAGAATTGAAACTTGGTGATTTGCTAAGCAGCTGGTAACCGGCCAAGCCTGACTTTTTACCCAGGTTAGTCCCTCATAGCTCCGGAGCATCTGCCATGTACTGAGGCCACTAGAGTACGTGAAAAATGGCTAGTGTGACTGAGAGATTGAACTTTTAATTTCATGACTTTTATTAAATATAAAAACTGATATTCACTTAGACTTTTGGAAGACTTCTTAGTAAGTTTAGAGCAACTTGGGTGTGGAATTGACTTTTGCAATGAAAAAATAAATTTAAATCAAAACTATTTTCAGTTAAAATTTAACATTAATTGAGGTATGCTAGTAAAACATAGGCAAGATTTTGAAAACTATAAAAAGTAAAATACCTCATTAAATTTTTACTTTATCATATTAAAGTGATATTTTTAATACATTGGAAAATATTTTAACATCACTCATTTTACTTTTGTTTAATGTGGTTACTTAGAAAAATAATATTACATATGTAGATTACATTACATATCTATAAACTGTACTGCTTCAGAGCCTAAGTCTTAACTCAAGCAGAGACTCATTTTATTCTACATATTCCTTTTGAAGGGATTATGAAACTTTAAGCTTCATCAAAAAATTGTGTTATGATAAAGCAATTATCCTTTAATTAAAAAAAATTTTTTTAAGTGAAAAAATTTGTTATGAACCTTGGATATCAGAGTTCAAGGAATACATCTGAGATGGGTGTGGGTTTAGGTATAAATCAGACAAAGCATTCATTTATCTTCAAGTGTTTTAATATTTATTTGAAACAGGTTTAGGCATAACTTTGTAAAAATATTTATTTAATTCTTTATTTGGCTGTGCTGGGTCTTCATTGTGGCATGTAGCAAGCTGAGACATAAGAATCTTAGTTTTGGCATGTGGGATCTAGTTCCCCAACCAGGGATCAAACCCAGGCACCCTGCCTTGGGAGCTCAGAGCTTTAGCCTCTGAACCACCTGGGCAGGCCCAGACATAGTTATTCATTCAAAATGGATTAACCACCTCCCCCCCCCGATTTAAAAAAAAAATAATAGTATTAAATATAACGTAAATGATACAATTATAACCTATAATCAATATAAAATTATGAATGAAATGTTGATATTTAAATAGAAAATGATATTTTACCTTTTGTAGTGCTAAGTCTCTGAAACCCAGTGCTTTAAGTCTAGTATTTTACATGTCAGTTCAGAGTAGACACATTTCAACAGCTCAGAAGTGTATGTGGTTGATGGCTGCCATCTTGGAAAGTGCAGTTCTAAGGAATCAAATGCCAGGACATGAGCAAAAAAAAAAAGCAAACTTATAAAATGCTTCAAGAGTGGGTTGTAATGATGTGCAAGAAACAAACATGCATTTGTTCATTAAACATTTTTGCGTGCAGAGAACAGAAAGAAGAACTCAAAACTTCTGCCCTCAAGGACTTCATCATCTAGCAAGGGAGAAAGACTGGAATTGATTATCATAACATCAGGTGGCAGATGCAGCGCCAGAGACAATCACAAGGGAGTAGAGAGATGTACCATCCTTGGGGGAAGGCAGCTGGAGAGCAGGGTCCTAATATCACCACCCATTACAACTAGTTAAGGTCCCTGAAGTTCTCATCATTTTGAAATATTCATTGTTTCAGAAGTTCTGCGTCATGAAAATAACCTGCTTAAAATGCAACTACCTACTCAGGCAGGGAGAACACATAAACTTATGCATGCTCATTTAAATGCATTACTTTTTAATTTTTATTCATTTTAATTTCCTTCCATGTATTTATTTATGTTTTTTTATTTCATTTCCTTCTATTTATGTATTTATTTTAAATGAAGCAAAGATGGATATTTTTAATGATAAAAGGTGCTATTCACAAAGAAGATAGACGTCATAAACCATTAGACAAAATAACAAAGAGGCAAAGATGTGTAAAGCAAAAATCAGAAGAAATATAAGAGGAAAGAAAAAATATAATCATAGTATGACATTTCTCTGAGAATATTTATCAAGTGCAGAAAAAAGAATAGAAGCATCTTGAATGATGTCATTAATTTAAATATAACAGGTTTATATTTAATGTATATTAATCTTATATCCTACACAAATATATTTACAATTTTGTATCTCGTATGTTGTTACTAGATTTCCATAGGATATTTAGAAAAACTGGCAAAAAGATAAATGTTATTAAATTTCAAAAAGTAGAATTTTTGTGTGTGTGTGTAATTCAGTTATATATATTATTTTTGAAATTATTTTCCATTATAGGTTATTATAAAATATTGACTATAGTTCCCTGTTCTGTACAGTAAACCTTTGTTGCTTGTTGCATATCTATTTTTTTATAATTAGAAATCTAGCATTCTATTCATACTAAGTCAAACAAGTGGAATTAAAGTGTCCCTCCACCCCTGATTCTTTTAATTGGGGTGGGGCAGAAATGGAGGGGAGTTGAGCATGGTATTTCAGAAAACTAAAAACAAGCTCATTTGGTTCATTTGTCTCCTTTTCATATCATGTCTTTACTGAGAAAGCCATGACTCTTTAACATACATTCTGGCAAAGCCATTTTAAATATTGATTGCATGTATAGTTGTGTGTATATTAAATGGTCAATCATGTGGGTGATAATAGGCTATTAAAATAAATTGTAAAGTTCATAAAAATTTGTATAGCGATAGTAAGAGAGTTTCTTTACTGCTGCTGCTGGTTAGATCTAAACCAGGGGTCTTCACACTTTGGCATACGTCATATTCACCTAGACTCATGGCTAGTTAAATCAGATTGCTGGGCCTCACCACCTCCCCTCCCCAGTTCTGATTCAGTATTTCTGGAGTGAGACTGGAGAATTTACATATCTAACAAGTCATTGGCTGATATTTTTGCTGCTGGTCCAGGAATACCACTTTAGGAATCATTGATCTAAACAAAGGGACTTGAAGTATTTGCTTTTTTCATTTCTATCAGGCCAGTGTTTAGTACACTCTGTTAAAAGATATGGGTTTTCCTGGTAGCTCAGCTGGTAAAGAATCTGCCTGCAATGCAGGAGACCTCAGTTTGATCCCTGGGTTGAGAAGATCCCCTGAAGAAGGGATAGACTACCCCTTCCGGTATTCATGGGCTTCCCTGGTGGCTTAGATGGTAAAGAATCCACCTGCAATGTGGGAGACACGGGTTTGATCCCTGGGTCAGGAAGAACCCCTGGAGAAGGAAATGACAACCCACTCCAGCATTCTTGTTTGGGAAATCCCCATAGACAAAGGAACCTGGAGGGCTACAGTCCATGGGTCACAAAGTGACAGTCACGACAGTGACTTGACAGCCACAGAAGAGCTAGGACATGCCGACCTGCAGTGAAGATACCCTGAACTCAAAGAATGGATGAATAGAGTAGCTGAGGAGCTCTGGGGACAAACAAGAAGGGAAAAGCCAGGCTGTAAGAATGTGCTGTTTGTCAGGGGCCTTGTATGTTCTCTTTAGTTCCTGTACTCCAAACAAACTAGAAGAATGTTTTGATATGCCCCCCCACCCCCCACAGAGTTCCAGTGTGACCCAGCATTTAACTCAAAGCACAGAGCATATAAACTAATATTTCATTTTAAACTGGGTAACATAGAATTACACAGAATTTTTAGGAACCTGTCTATCTCCTGGTACTAATGCATATACCTGCCTTGGAAGAACTTCCATATTACAGTGCTTTCTCTGTTCCCATGTTTAAACTTCAGGTATTTATAGCATGGCTGCTGCTGCTAAGTCGCTTCAGTCGTGTCTGACTCTGTGCGACCCCACAGATGGCAGCCCACCAGACTCCCCCATCCCTGGGATTCTCCAGGCAAGAATACTGGAGTGGGTTGCCATTTCCTTCTCCAATACATGAAAGTGAAAAGTGAAAGTGAAGTCGCTCAGTCTGTCTGACTCATAGCCACCCCATGGACTGCAGCTCACCAGGCTCCTCCGTCCATGGGATTCTCCAGGCAAGAGTACTGGAGTGGGGTGTTATTGCCTTCTCCATAGCATGGCATACAATGTGGAAAACAAAAAAAACTTTACATGGCATCTTTCATGTTTAGATATCAATTCTTTGAATATATCAAAATACCAGCTATACTAAGTGATTTTTAAACAAACATCAGAGTATATGGCCAAATGGGGGCCATTCTTCAAACTAATCATCTTCAGAAACTAGAACCTTAATCCATTGAAACTTCCAGTGTTCAAAATTATATTTAAACTCCTGCCCAGAAATTGTTTCAGAGCTCCATTTGTAAGTCATCCTAGAAAACTGGTGTCTTAACTCAAAGGCATACCTTGTTTTCAACCAAGCTGAGTTATGCAACTAAATT